GCACGCGGAAGAAATAGCCAGAGGCAGCCGTTCAAGAAGAAGAAGCAGGCTCAAGTTGACCCTTAAAATGGTAGATAAGACGACTTTGATGACTGAAAGAAGTCGAGAGAGGCACTTTTTCGCGAAAACAAGGAAAAGCATACATTCTTGGAGTGTACGAACACCACGGTGTACTTAGGGTGCGTCGGACCACCAAGGTCGTTGAGGGCAACAAAAACCTGCATTTTAGGACGGCGCTTCTTGGAGGTCTTGCCCCTCAGGAACAGCAGTATGCTCTGTGCTATGGAATTCTCATGATTTTCCCTCTGGCAGAAACTTTCAGGATCTGCGCAGACGAGTGACCTCGCAATGTTTGAACACCGCGCCAAAACCCCTTACGAACTCTCAGCTTAACGGGGGTGCCAAGATGAGGCTACACTAGGGGCGTGTACACTCCACACCATGCAAATAACTCAGGGGAGGCTCTTCATGAAGGAGGTACTCGAGCCTAAGTATAGGGTGTTGCGCTGCGCGTAGATCCTTTGCCCTAAACTAGCTTTTCGTTGAGAATAAGTAGAAGGGAGGACCATTGGTTCGCATGTTCGCTCAAGTTTCTAACTCCAAGGTACTAGAAGCTGGAGAGAAGTTGGCGCATGGGTGTGTGCAAGGGGGCTCCACGCAACGTGCCACCTGCTCTGAATGGCCCCACTGCTTAGGGCGTGCAGCTACATACACCCCGGCTGTCCCTTTTGCCTCGTGTCGGCACTCTGAGGGGCAGTGTAAGGGGAATAAAGGAGAGGAGATCATGTGAAAAGCTTCATTTTCTTTCCAACATGTTGGCACCGAGTCTGAACTTTAAAGTGTCTCCCTACGAAGGCTTTGAATGGAGGCCTGCAAGAGGTCTCATTGAAGAGGCGGGCACTTTGGGCTTTGGTAGAGGCGAAACCCGCAGCGCGCCTTAATTATCAGGCGCAGCTGAATGCCTTCGCTACGTTTTGGGGGATCTTTGCATTGTGCCCCATGACAAGGACATGTCGGCTCCTGCCTCTGTATACACACGAGGTCGTGCAGCCGCGCATTACGTGTACTGCAGACAGCCTCTTTTCACTCCAGTAATGCGTTTTATGAATACCTGACGCCTTGAATCCTGAATTCGCACAACAGCCTGTGGTTGCTCTGCTCCACCGCCCGGGGAATGAGGGCCTGAGGGAGAGGGCTGACAAACAGACTTTATGCGTCAGATTCCTATGCGAAAAGAGTCCCTTGAATATGCTCGGGGTTGACCCCACTGGCAAAAGCAGATGCGCAATAATCGCTCATAGAGCATGTAAAGTGACTCTGCGAAGCGTATGGAAACCCTTGATTTCAGAAATTGGACACGTGTGGAGGCAAGCCTATCGCCTTGGTGTCCAGTGTTAGCGTCTAACTTAGTTCTAACCCCCGTATGCTGAGGGGCACTCTAAACATGAGTTGGCTGCCGTCTAGACAATTAGCTAAGGACGCAGCTAACCTTTGACAAGCATAAACTCAGAAGAGACGCATGCGTGTATGCCGTTTGCTATTAACGGTTGCGGTGCGATCAGCATGGGATTGGCACTACTTGTACTGTAAGTGCGCACTCCAAGCTACGTGGCAAGTTCCGATGGCATGAAAGAAAACGTGAGGCAGTTGTACTGTGCTAGTCAGATGCATAAACGTATGTATGTATACCTCAACACAGCGGCAACACTATACATGGTGTGGGTTTCCCAGGGGCTCTGTCAACACTGTGAAAAGACAGAAGACAGCCGTGGGGCCCCCCAACGGATACGTCCACATATTGCAAACATTGAAAAGCTTCGCGGGCACACGTATGTACATGCAGGCACCGGCATGCATCTACTCCTGAAGGGCTAAGAAATACATCCAAAGTTGAGCGTTCACTCCATTTACATACTTCATTAGTATACCCAAAGCATCGTCGTGAAATCACACAGGTAGGGTAGGGCACCTACGGAGGCACATGAGGCACATACGCAAAGGGGTGTTCATATATATATGTATATGTATAGATGTATACATTCTGGAAGGCATTCAACCCACACAACAGGCGAGTCGAGGCCCGTGAACCGTTTGTGGTTTTTCAAGAAACCGGCTGTCAGTACACCTCGCCGGAATAACTACCGCGCAACCTCGTCAGTCCCTAATCAGCAAAGCTGAAGAACCACCAAATTCTGCCAGGCACTAGACGCGGACACGGTGGCATTCCAGAAGCCCTCATTGGAGGCAACCGAGCGACAATAAACGGCTTCGAGCCGCACATACATTCGGCATACCCTCCAAGGCAAGGCAGCAAACAGGCTTGGAAATCCATCTCATTCCAGCAGCTGCATTTCTGGCCCTTCCAGTAAGAGCAACCGCTCATAATGCAGCCTTTTCTGGAGAATTCCAACGCTCACAGACACTGTCAATATCGAAGAAGCCCTCATCCTCAAGCCAAACCGTTTCTGGTACTCGGGGCTGACGAGTCCGCATGCACACTGCACAAGTCGTAAACCTTTTTTTTCATCCCCCGCATGCCTTTGCAAGGCCCCCCCTCTCGGCAGGCGCTAGAGGGGCCTCCCTCCGAGAAAGGGAATGTGTAATTCGGGAAAAAGCCCATTTGAGACTTCCTCTCCTCATGCTACAGCCCTTAAGGGCCCCCTCTCTCTGCCGATCACACGGCGTTGTGCGACTGCGCATGCATAGAGGGGTGATGCTCCAGGAACGCCAGGAGGGCAAGGGCTGCAGAGGCATCAGCGACAGCCACAGAGCCAAACTGCTGCGAGGGGGCCCCCTCCGGGGGGCCCCCCAGTTCTTCCGTGTAGTCCCGCATGCACAGCGGGCACAACTGCAGCAGCAGCAGCACCCACCGCAGCATCCTACGGCTAACAATGGGCAGCAGGTCGTTTTCATGGCAGGCAGTTTGGCGAGAATTCCACCGCAAAAGACTCGGCAGAACGCAGCACATGCAGTAGAGGCGGCTTCCGCGCACAGACAGAAGCTGCATGTGAAAAACAGGCAACGCTGGCCTCTACAAGACCGCGCATGCACAACCAGCAAGAAATTGCAGAAGTCTCTGCATGCCTCGCGAAGTCGGCGAGGACAAAAGCGTAGCGAGGCACAAATGGAAGGGACTGCTTACGGCGCTCCTGACAAACCAGGCATCAATACAGCATCTGTGATACAGATGATGGCAAGGTAGCATGCGAACTAGGGCGGAAGGGGAGAAGGCTTCAAAGCAGATCGAGCATCTGATGTCAACACACACATACATACATACATATATATATATAGATATATATATATATATAGATATACGAAAAGTTCAATAGTCGCTCCTCCCCCCCAAAGCGTTCCTCACGCAGCGGCAGCAGCACTCGTCGTGCATCGCTGCCACTCTCTCTCTCTCTCTCTCTCTCTCTCTCTCTCTCTCTCTCTCTCTCTCTCTCTCTCTCTCTCCATATAGATATATTATTTTATATATATACAGATACGCATGGCTGCTTGCGCAGAGTGCGCTGCTGACGCGCTTACAGGTTGTTTCCGTCCTCTCCTTGTGTCTCCTTGCCGCCTGCGTCACTAGACGGTCGTTGAGCGCCTTCATCGGCTTCTGAAGGCGCAGCATCGCCGGTGGGAGGAAGCCGTTCTTCTCCTCCTGTTGCGGCTGAACCCTTCGATGCGCCCATCAGCTCGCCAACACTTAGCTGCCGCTGCTGCTCTGCCGACTGCTGGGAAGACTCTTGCTGCTGGCTGTCACTCGCAGCTGCCGCTGCAGCAGCAGCGCTCGCCACATTTGGCCTTGAGGCACTGGCGTGGCTCTCCAGCTCTTGAGGAGCCTCTGCATGCTCCAAATCCTCGAGCACCTGCAGGAAGAAGCACAGCGTCGCACAGGCAGAGTGTCTGCAGCCTGTGCAGCGTCTGCGAGCAATCTTGCCACGCATGCTCCATAGAAAGTTTCCCTAGAACACCCCCTTTCCCTCACTCCCTCCCTGCCCCCTTCTTCGGATAGCCAACAGGAGAAACACGCAAGGCAACGCTAGCCAGCAAGCCAGCGGCAGCAGCAGCAACAACAACCACAAAAACTACACAGACACTGCACACAACAGCAGCCTCAGCAGCAAAACTTGCGACGCTCGCACCTTCCCATACGGCTTCGCCGGGCACCAATTCTGCGCATTCAAATTCCACACATACTTGGAAACACATAAATACATAAACACACATACATACATATACATACATGTGCACACATAAAAATCATGCATGAAAACACACTCATATATACACATACATCACACAGATACAGGTGAACACATAAAAAACATACATGTAAACACACTCATATACACATACATACACAAACACACTCACATACACACATACATGTAAACACACTCACATATACATATACATACATACACATACATACGTACTGTCGGAATCATTATATTTCAAGACTCCCTACTGTAAACGGTGGAAGTCACAGACCCTCGCTCCCCCCCCTTGCCCCCTCCTCTCTCTGTTCACAAAATTCGCTACTGTCACTGCTCCAAAAAACATTCTCTAGCGTCTTGCCTCTATGTTGTCTTCTGGCGCTTCTTGCTCGAGCAGACTGCCCCCAAAGCGTGGCAGACCAATAGCAGAGAGCAGTGCAGCAGACTGCAGCAGATGCACAACAAGACACCGCACGAACAGCAGTCGCTGCGAAATTTTCTGCTGCTGCTAATTCTCCATAGCCAGCAGCAGATTTGTGCCACACGCGCATTCCCAATCAATGCGCAAGCTACCAATCTGTCCCCTCTACCCCTTCCCCCCTAAAAAACTATCCTATCGCCCTTCTCGCCTAAGAATCCCTGCAGCGAAACTCGCGAAGCAAGCGAGTGCAGCAGCCGCACTGTTGCGCTCTGTATGTGCAACACCGAGTTTCGCAGCAGCATCAGCAGCCGCTGTGCCAGCGACCCTCCTAGCCTAAGATCAAAAACGCATACTTCTTGTTCTAAATGCCGTAGCAACGCCAAGTGGTGCTGCCGCCTCTGATCTGCCTGTCGCTCCCTGTTTTGCTGCTGCTGCTGCTGCTGCCGCTGCTGCACCTGTCGTGCCTCAGCAGCTCGTTGCCAGTGTCGCGTCAAAACGCACAAGACGGAGGCTAGTGCGGTCTGCAAATGCATGCGTAAATCCGCAAACACACGGATCTGTGCAGGCTCGATGCGATTAGATTCCGCCTTTCGCTGAATCCAGCTGATTCTGCAGGGCTTGGAAAGCGGCAGATTTATCGGCAAGAACCAACTCCGAAACCGCCAGAGCGCTACAAAGTCAGGCAAAACAAGAGGTGTCTCAGCTAGCCTCCTGGAGTGTCTACGAGAAGAGACCATCGGCAGCACGTGAGAGGGGAAAAAGGCCTTGCTTTCAAGAGAGCACTCACCACAAGCGCAAATATGAAGAGCCATATCACCACTTCGCCCGGATCGTCTGTTCCCAAATACCATCACGCCGCATGCACGACAAAGCGCAAGTGAGGCTGGGAAGGGCATGCATGCCCTCCTCGCAGTGGCAGGCAGCAGCAACAAGTTCGCATCGACAGCTCCAGCAGCAGGGGTGGCAGAAGCAGTAGCAGCACAAGTAGAAGCATGCCCCCTACCCATTCTCTAGAAGAGCATTGCCGCTTTCAGGAGCTCGACTGCGTCATCAACCACGTGGCCTTTTCCATGCTGCTGCAGCCCACGCCGCTGTTGTGGATAAGCCTCCTGTTAGGGACGCTATATGCGCGGATACAAGCTGCTGCTGCCTGTGCTGCTGGTGCTGCCGTATGCGATCGCTCCTTCGCTGATGCTGCCACTTCTGATGCAACTGGTGTCACAGCTGCTCTCTCTATACATGCCCAAGACAGCAGCAAACGCAGGAGCCACTGAGATGTACAGGAAGGCAGACGCAGCCCTAGGGGGAGTCACCACAAATTTGCAATGGTTGATGCTGTTGCTGTCGGTGTTACCCGTGTTGCTTGCGGCTGCGGTGTGCTGGTGCCCGCAACAAAATTTGCGCAAGGAGACGCGACTTCATCGCCAATACGGAGCCCTCAGCATTTCTAACCCGCTGATTGTTTTACGTGCAACTTGAAGATCACCCGTGGCGGCAGCAACACTGTTCGCTCCTGCTGCCAATTGCTCCTGTGTGGCTGCTGCAACCGAGCGGCACGCGCAGTGTTGCAGCTCTCGCTTACTCTGTAGATATATCAGAACGTGTTGAAAAAAAGGATAAATGCATTTTAGTATTTGATTCGCGCTGTTGTCTCATCAGATCGTCGGCAGTGCTACCTGCGAGCTGTCCAGACACCCCAGAAAAAGCCCTGCTCTGTAGCCCTCTTCTGGCTGCAGGCAGCGTCATGAGCAACACTACCAATGACCGCACCGAAACCACCTGTATGCGTACCCTTTCTTTTGTTATTGTGCCACTTCGTGTCTTAGCCTGTGCTCCACGGTCCAACATGTAAAAGCTGACTGTTCGGGCAGCACCACGAGCCCCGCCGCGTAAGACGTGTAACTCGTCCCTCTCTCTCTCCCTCTGAATGCAGCAAGAACAGCGGCAGCAGAAACAGCAGAGCCAACGGCAGGATCCGGTACAGCGTCATTGGGGGCTGGATGATGAGCGAGGACCTTCCTAAGCCCTCACCCGCACTCTCCAGTGGCCCTCCCGTATATACACCTTGTAATTCCTTGCTGTCGTTCTCCAAACCTTTCCTTCCAGTGTCTGTACACGAGGCTTTCGCCTACCGCTGCAACAGCACTGCCACCCCCACCAACAGCAACAGCAGTAGCTACCCCCCGTTAGCAGCAGCAGCATCAGGAGACTGCTTGCAGTGCCGCATCTTGGGCTTCTGCCTTCTTTCAGGGGCCGCCTCTGCTGCATTCCTGCAGGCTATTCAGAGAGCACCCCGCACCGGAGATCGCTACTTCTACAGCTTTGTGGCTGCAGGATTTGCAGGGCTTGGTACGTCTTGTGCGCATTACGTTTGCGGTCAGGGTTTCTCGTGTTTAGGATCTCCAGAGACTCTTTCACCTCGTTTTCAGCATTTGCACGCTCTTGGTTGTGCTGTGCTGTTCTCTCGGCAGCCGTATACAGAATCGTGGTTCCTACCAAAGCCATAGACGGCGCATAGCTGCACGGGGAGCGGGCAGCTCCAGCATCAAAAGAGCCCCTGCAGCGAAGATGAGCGGTCTGGACGTAGGATCCGGGGGAAGCGCCTCGCCCCCTGCAGCGGCGACTGGAGAAGGCCCTTCCCTCGCATCTCTGCAGCAACAGAGGCAGCAGCAACGGCAGGATCAATCTGTCCACGGTATGGTTCTCCAAGCGCTCACCAGTCGAACTCCTCTTCAGCGCGTAGCCTGAGAAGCAGCGTCTGCTTCCCACCTGGACCTGCCATTTCTTTGTGCGTTCTTCTCTGGTGCTCTCAGAGGTCCTCTCAAATGGCGGCGCAGGCATTCCTGCCTTCGCCGGGGGCCCCGTGGGTTCTTTACCCCCTCGCGTCGCGTCGTCGGGGGCCCCCGTGGCTGGCGCCCAGGGCGCTGGCGAGCTGAGTGAGGCCCTTCAAGAGTTGCTGCAAGACATGAATGCCAAATTCGCGTCGTTGAGCTCGAGCATTCTGGGAAAACTAGATGACATGGCCTGCAAACTCGACGGGCTGGAGAGGCAGCTCACAACGATGCTTGCTGAGGAGGAAGGGGAAAATCCTCTTGGGTGTCAAGTGGGGCCCCAGGGGGCCTCTTCGGAAAATTTGTAGGGAAGCGCGTAGGGGATATATTGCGGCTTCCAATCGTGTCTTAGATTTAGCGTTAGGGCCCTGCCAGGAGGCCTTTTAAGGTACACTCGAAGCCTCCGCGTTCCCACAGCGAGGCAGGCACAGAACCCACTCGGCCTTCTGCCCCGTTGCGCTCTGAGCACTGCTCCTTCTCTCTCCCGCGTACCAACAGTCAAGGCGAGACGCTTGCGTGCATTCAGGGGTGCACCTCCCAGTGGAATTATCTATCTGTTGAGGCACTCGTGCATTCATGCCTAAATCAAATGCATGACCTAAAGGCTGCTGGGAGGGCCCTCAGCTACAATCCAAGGCGAGCCACGGGAGCTAGTTCGCAAGTGGTCAGTGGTGGTGTGCCGCTCCACACTTCACGTGATAGCTCTGTAGGGAAACGCATGAAGGCAGACGGAGTGACAAATTTTTAGAAAGCGACTGAGGCTTTTCAAAAGCACACAATTCTTCCCCCACAAACGCATCCCCATCCCCCTGCCTCCCGCAGAATCGATAGGGGGAGGGAGACAGCCAGACAAAGCCAAGCTGCACTCTTCAGTGACTCCGAGCAAGCACAGCTAGGGGCGTGTGACAGCTAGCGCGGTTTGTAAAAGCGCATCAATTGTCATCCTCTTACCCATTCTAAAGGAATAATACCTAAGGAAGAACGAGTGTAGTAGAGAGTGTCTGCATGTAGCTTATTAGCTCGCTAGAGCCAAGTGTAAGACAGCAGATGATTCAGTCTTGACCACTAGGGTCATTTCTGCCTTGTATCGCATACTCCCAAAAGGACATGCAAACAAACCCGTACCATCAACGAGCGGGGCTTCACTTTGGCACTTGTTCCTTCAGGTGGTAAAAAAATATGCATTAGCGTGGAAAAGCGTTGGCTGCAGCGGCTAACCGCTTTGTGCATTCGGCTTGTTGGAGAGCACAACTAAAATGCATTACCCACGAATTCACAGCTAAACCCTTTCGATGGAGTTACACTCTGTGGCTCGCTGCTAAGGCCAAGAGCGCCCGGTCAAGGTTGCACCTTCTTGCAACCACCCTCATTGCGACTCACCTCCCCGCGTTCTGGTGGAACGCCGTGCGCGGGAGGGCTCAAGGAGAATAGCGAGCTTTCTAGCGTGAGATTGCACAGTGCAGTCAAGGGTCTCTTTTGAAGACGACCAAACAGTGCAGAACTGCCCTTCCCGTATATCTCCGCGTGCCTCACTTGCACCGTGTCTCCGTTCAAAGACGAAATAGCATTGGTTCTACAGACCCATGGCTACTGTGTTTCGAGCGTATTGTCTCTAGGTGTGCATCGGCGACAATCCCATCCACGGAAGCCCTCGTGCTCCTCTGGAGTGCCTTACAGGCTCTGGGGGGCCTATGGCGAGCGACTGTTTTTCGCGATTGCCCAGAAGCTGGGCAGAACTTGCGGCGAACTGTGGCCTAAGCACCAAAAGCAAATAGAGCAAGCACAGTGTATGGGTGTTTTGGCTTGGTCTTTTGGTTTTCACATGTTACACGGTGTCGTTGCCTTTGGTACAGGCAGGCCAGGCTGGGCGAGCCTCCCCTCCTGCTAAATATGGTACGGAGTTATAAGACCTGGTGCGAGCGAGCGTGAGACTGTCGGCCCTCCCATGCGCTTGAGTAGAGCGCTTATTCGCGCCTCAATCCCATCTAGCGAAGAAAATCGTAGTATTCGGCTGGACGAGCATCTCTCCCCAAGCGGCTTCCAGCGGTCCCCTGCATATTAGGCATGTATCTATCGCACTAGATCCTCAAAAGGCCCTGGAAAAGATTTTAAAATGAACAGAACACTGTGGCACCCCCCCTGAACGCAAACGGACTTCTAGGCATCCTTGGGGTGGGGTTGTTGTAGGCTGCTCTTTGCGGTGTACATGCAGCTCTGCACGGCGCCGCAGCTTGGCCGTGCCACAAAGGCCACGAATGATGCCTTTTGACGATTTAAATGTACTCTGCTACACAGAAGGGCGCCCTCGAGAGGGTTCATACTTCAGAGGGGCCCCTTTCGCCCTAGCACGTCTCACTTGCCCTGGCCATAAGTCGCTGTTAATGCAGCCTTCTTAGACTTTCGAATTTGACGATTTCGAGTTCTTGACTCAAAGCGATCTCTTGTCTCGCAGCGCCTATCGCGAGCTGCCTCCAGGAGTTCCCTGCCAAGCACCTCGAAATCGGCTGCAGTCCAGCCCTGGTGACACCCACCGCAGTGTAGAGTCACTCGATCGCAGCTTCTGCAAGTCTCTCGGATCTCCCCCTTCCAGCAGGTGCGCGCGATGGCGGCCTGAAGGCTGCTCTAGACTCTCTTCGAGCTGCCCTGGTTCAGGGAGGGGGGTACAAAGGGGTTGTTTGCGGGGATGGATGTTTCTTCGGAAGGGGAACCCAAGGGGGGGGGCCCTCCCACATCCTGTGAGGCCCTCGCCTTCGATCAAACGCCCACACGAAGCAGCTGTGTGAACGGCGCAGCGGCTGCAGCAGCAGCCGCTGCTGCTGCCGGCAGTGGCGCTCCTCGAGGTTCTCCCCAAAGAATGCAGTCTACCCACACCATAGAGGAGATTCGCGCTAGACTAAGGCCACGCATTCAATCCGGTAGGATCCCAGGGGATGCAAAATTTGCCTTTGGGGGTTCGCGCGAATCGGCGGAGGGGTGGGTGGTGCTGTGGCTCCCCTCCCGCAAAGCAGCATGCTGTTTCGTGTCCATACACTCCGAAGGGCAAGAACTCCCGGCTCGGCGTCTGCAGATTTCGGGCTCTTTTCCACTTTCTGTAGGAGGGGAGGGCTCACGCAATGCAGCCCGCAGCATGTGCTGTTTTTCTCACAGGAACCTCATCTGCAGCCGTGCATTCCTTGGAGACACTTCCGGGCGCTTCTTCCCCGCTGCGTCTCCGCCCGCAGTCAGACGGCGGCATTGCTGCTGCTGCTGGATCTGCAGCTGCTGTCGCTCGCAGTCCGCAGAGCAGCAGCAGAAGCAGCACAGCAGCAGCCACTGGCGGGGTCGCAGCGGAGCGTGCGGTGTCTGTACAGCGCGAGGCAGCAGCGCCTCATTTTCGGGCTTCGGGAGCTGACTGCTTGGAGACGATCATAAGGAGACGTCAAACAATAGCCTCGGAGCAACAAGGGGGGGTGCCTTCCCCCCTCTTGGCGGGAGGAGAGCAGACGGACTGTCTCTTCTTACTCCACGAACTTCTGGGTAAGCCGCGGCTACGCGGATGAAAACACACGCAAACGCGCCTCCCTCCCTCCCGACTCCTTTCGAGCTCGATAAAAACCGCTTGCAAAAAGCTTTGCATGCTGCTTGGTGCTCCTACCCAACTCGAGTTTCTGTGCAGACCAAGGTCTGCTCTAAACAGCTCCCCTGGAGACACTGCTGGTTGCGCTCTCGGGGGCAGCCTCGGTGTCGGTAGAGCCTCTTTGAGACATCCTGCATGCGCGCTGTCTCAAAGAGGATTCACCAGCTGCATCTGCAGTCGATCAGGTGTGTGTTTCTGTGGGGGGGTCACACAGCGTTCGTGGAAGCCTTAGAAGCGCATCGCCAACAGTCCCTTGCAGAAGCTGTGCGTTTGCGGAGATACAACAGCGAGATGGCGATGCTGCTTCAGCAAGCCAATGCACGGGAGCAGCAGCTCTTCAAGGAGCTGCAAAAGCAGCGCTCTCTCCTCGCGGAAACACACACGAAGATGCAGCAGCTGCAGCACAATGCGGAGGTGAGGGAGATGAAGCCTCAACGGCGGCTCTCGCGAGGGATAACACCCCCCCGTCCTGCATGATGCAGCTCCCCCCAATGTCGTAATAACTCGTAATCGCCAGCTCCTAGACATCAGGAGGTGCTGTGTTGCTGCGCTTCCGCCTCAGGAGGCTGCCCAGTCTCTCAAGACGCAGCGCGACGTTCTCGCTGAGCGACTCCAAGTGGTAGAAACCGAATTGGAGGTATGCACAGTACGCTGTACATACACTCCAGCCGCTCGAGCTGTGGATGCAGATTCAGGTTCCCTGAAATCACGTGTCTGCTGCACGCCTCGGCAACCGCTGCAAGGCCGATAGTTCTCTTGAATATCTTTTGCCCGTTCTCTCGGGTTGCCGTGGCTGCTGCTGCAGCGTTGTGTCGCAGAGAATCAGCAACTCTTACGGCAAAACGCGCAGAATGATGCATGCCTCCGTGAGGTAGGTGTTCGTACGGCGTGACGGGAACTCAGAGGCGCTTACCGCGTGTCTGTACACCGCAGCTTTACCTCAACGCCCAGAGGTTGCTCACTGTTCTTTTTTCGTTGCGATCCGCAGCTTGCTGCAATGCGGCAATCACACGGGGTCATTGAGAGGGAAAAGAAACAATTGCAGTCGGAGGTGAGTCTGAACCTTTTCCGACGGTTTAGTGCCAGCAGTGTCTTTTAGGGGGTTGCGTTTGTTCCACAGCCGAGAGCAAAGCGCCAAATTAATCGGGGATTTTATGCTGCTGCATGGGTGTAGCTGTCTGTATGTGTATCTCTGTGTGTATCTGTATGTGTGTGTGTATCTGTATGTGTGTGTGTATCTGTATCTGTGTGTGTATGTATCTGTATGTGTGTGTATGTATCTGTATGTGTGTATGTATCTGTATGTGTGTGTATCTCTGTATGTACGTGTATGTGTGTATCTGTATGTGTGTATCTCTGTATGTGTGTGTGTCTCTGTCTAAGTTTTTATGTTTGCTTCCTCATGTTGCATGTGCAGATTGCTGAAAAGCAGCTTTTCACTCGTGCGCTTTGTGCTGTTGCTGCTATGGGTGTCTGTACAGTTGGAGGCTCAGGCAGTGGCGCGTTCAAGGCTGCTGAATGAGCGCATAGAGCTGCAAGGGCAGCTGCACCGTTTGCAATCGCGGCTTGAAGATGTAGAGACAGCAGATGCAGGACGGCACGCGCATGGAGGGACCATGAAGCAGAGGGTCAGCAGGCGTGGCGCAGTTCAGTGGTAATGGTGGTGCTGGTAGTTGGGGTTGCTTGTGATGCTGCGAAGCGTGCGTGTGCATGCTTGTTGTGGTGTTTTTTTTAATGTGTTTTAGCGGACCAGCAGACTTTCCAGTGTGTGAGGCTGCTGCTTTCTCTCAGGTGTATGGCGATGGGGTTTTTTTTGAGGAGACAACGGAGGAAGGTTGCGCGATGATGGGGGTCTTGTTGCATCAATTGATGGCTGAGGTGTCACCACACCTCACGGACGCCCAGAGAGAAGAATTCGTGCAGCAAGGAGCAGCAAAACGTATTCAGGAAGCCTTCCTTCAGAGTGCGTCGCTGACGATATGCGCGTCTGCCACGGGTGCTCTGTCTATCTCTGTTGGGGCAGCAGGTGTGGCGTCTGAGCAGCGAATATATATGAGCATGCATATATTGGTGGATGTCACTAGGTTGCCTGCGTCTGTCTACCGAATTTCGCTTTTTTGTGTCTCCTTTTTAGAGCTAGTTCCCTTATCTCTCTTCGCCTTCCCCCACCCCCCCCTTCTTTGTGCCTCTCCGCCGCTCAGTTGTACTTTCTCTCCTTTGCTTGTGAATTTATTTCTCGCCATCGTCTTTTTTTGCCGAGATTGCCTGTGCAGTGCGCGCCGAAAAAGTTGAATTTCACGGAGTAAGGACTATCGGAGAAGCCACTTCTAAGGACTGTCGCTGTGGGGGCTGTCTCTAAGCGGCTCTCCGTGTCTCCCTTCCTCGAAGAGCAGGAAAGATGCAATCAGCTGGCGGTTCTGCGCCTCGCCGTTGCTGCTGCAGAGGCCGTTGATGCTGCTTTCCTCGAACGCCTCTCAGTTGCTGCTGCTGTCTGCGGGTGCTGTGTTGGTGCAGTATGCTCTTGAGCTCTTGAACCGTCTGGATGCCATAGGAGGAACCTCCTGCTGCTCGTCTGTCTCCCCCAGTCAGCAGCACATGGACTTAGGAGCTGCAATGTTTGCCTCAAGTACTCCGACAACTACGACTACGGCTGCTGCTGCACCCGACGCTGCAGCCTCGGGTGATTTCGCTGCAGCCTCGGGTGATTTTGCTGCAGCCTCGGGTGATTTTGCTGCAGTGGGGTCAGGCATTGCTGTTTCTGGAGGCGATGTTGCTGCTGCTGCTGCTGAGAGGGAGGCCTTTGAAGCCAGTAGCGAGTGCAACAACCCCCTCGCCATCTCGACAGAGTTGGCGGAGCCGCAGGCGGCTGCTCTCCCATGAACGATGCTCGTTTACTACTCGAGCAGAGTGCAGCTGAATTCCCCCAAATCTCTCAGAGCAGCAGCAGCTCGCTGAGAGGAGGGTTCCTAGCTGTGGGGCGATGAGGGCTTCATAGTTTTCTGCTGTTTGCCTCTGCTGCTGTTGGTGTTGTCAGCGCCTTGTAGCATAGGTTTAAACTAGGCAGCTGTTTCAGATGTTGCAGTCTCCGAGGGGGGAAGGAGAAACAGCGTGTCCTATGCAGGAGGCTACCTGCCCCCTTAAAGAGCAGGCTGGCCGTATAGTTGGCTCTGGTGCCTGGTGTATATTTAAGGCCGTAAAGGGCTTTTTTAGAGGCGCAGTGGGTGTTTTGGGTGCTGCTTACTTCCCAGTAATGATGGGGAAGTAAAGCAGCTGAGTTGCTGAAAAAAAGGGAACGCCGTCGTGAGAGGGCTCCCTAACGACCCACTGACGCGTAAATTTTGCACGGAGGAACACCCGCAGGGAAAGCGGGTATATGATGCCAAGAGGCAGCAGAGCAGCGAGCGCAGACTACGACGGCGCAATCAGCCTGCTTACTGCGGCTGCCCTTGTGACTGCAGCAAAAGAAAACAGCTGCCTGTGCAGGAGGCAAAGCAGCAAGTGCCATGGTCTCACGTCTGGCCACAACACGGGAACGAAGTGGAAAAAGCAGCCCTCAGACACCTGTAAACAGCACAGCAGCACACCAACAGACTCATGACCGCGCAGCCTCAACTGCTCGCATGCCTGCGTAAACAAAAGGAGCGAGGAAGACTCCTCTTGAGCGTCTCCTCCCTGCTCTTTCTCTCGAGTGAGCTCATGAGGGCTGCTGCATGCCGTGTCTTCTTTCGCTCTGCGTAGGTAGTCGCGATGCGTGTCTATGTAGTCGCGGGGTGCTTGAAGAAAGTGCTGTCGGCACTGGGTTTTCTTGCTCGGAAAGCGGCGAAGGCCAGTGCTCAGTGTCGTGTGTTTGAGTTGCTGGGGAATGGGGATGTACATGTGTGTATATATAATTATATATATTCTTATATACCTCGCACAAGAGAAAATCCGAAAGCCTCGCCTCGCCAGAGGTTCGAATGAGCATATCTGGAAGGGGGCAATTTCCCCCTTGCAGCGCCATGAAGAAGGCGGTACCCAGTTGGCTGTGTAGCAACCCCACAGCAGCAGCAGCACACACAGCAGCAGCAGCACTGACACCCCAACTCGAGGTCTAAAGGCGCTGCTGCTGCGTGCCTAGGATACTGCAGGCCCTCCGCTCTGTCTACAGGTGTATGTACACCCGAGCGAAGGCGGCGACGGCGGGAGTTAAAACAAGCGGCGCTAACGAGGGGCAGGCAGCAAGCGAACTCCGTCCCCTAAAGCTAATGCTAAACACACCTCAAATGCTCGTCTGGTGTCCACTTTCCCTGAATCAGTGCAGAGCGTAGCTGCTGGCAGATGGGCATTGCGGTGTTTGACCCTCGTCTAGAGGAGTGCTGCTCTGCCTTCGAAAGTGCAGCCCACTGAGGCGCTGCGCTCCCACTACCCTCATTCTCCAAATGTAGCGGAGAAGTTATCCTATGAACCTCATGCCTTGCACCGTACGATACGCAGAGACGCAACAGGAGTCTGTCGTTGCCTGCTGTTTCACGTTCTGCAGCTGCTGCTGCCTCCCGCAGCCGATCTCCCACAAATGAGAGGTCACCCACAACAACTAAGCGAATCCTCTCAGACATCAAAAAGCCCCTATCAAAAATACAAACGTACACAAATATACACAATCTCAAAATATACACAAATCAAAATACACACAATATACACCTCCATACACACACACACACACACACACACACACACACACACACACACACACACACACACACACACACACACACAAATACATACACATACACACCCATTCACATACACACATGAGATCCTTTCAGCAAAAAAATTCTCTCTTAAGAAGGTGGTAGTCGCGAACTTTCACAGGAGGTTTCGAACCCCTGGGGAAGAGAGGCCCCTGGGTATGCCTATACACCTCGACTGCTGAAACAACACCTCCAATCCCTTTCTCCAAATCCTCGCCACTCACTGTATCCAGTCAGGATCCTTAAAAATAGCCTCCGCAAGCCCCAAAAGCCCCTCCACTTCCTCCGGGGTGCGATGGAAGTTGCCGAGAGCGAAGCCATACACAGACACCACGCGAATACCAACCGCAGCACAGGCAGTAGCTATCTGAAACACATAAACACAGACATATATATATAATATAGACAGGCACACGAATGTCTACATAAACACGTACATACATACACATATATGTACATGCACACAGACACACAAATGCACACAGACACAAATGCACACAAATACACAAAGACACACAAATACAAAGACACACAAATACACAAAGACACACAAATACAAAGACACACAAATACAAAGACACACAAATGCACACAGACATAAATACACAAAGACACACAAATACCCACAGACACACAAATACACAGACACAAATACGCTAAGACACACAAATACACAACGACACACAGACAAACAAATGCACACAGACACAAATACACACAAATACACAAAGACACACACACAAATATGCATTAAACGCTTTCCTACTAAACGTGTAGGGGCAAAGGCAAAGGAGCAGCAGCACCAGTAGCACATGCGAGGTCACGCATGTGTTACTGGTGCTGCTGCCATTACTCCTCCTGTTGCTACTACTATGACAGCTACAACTTGCACAGCAGCAACAACTGCTGCTGCTGCTGTTTTTGTATCCCCATAATGCAATTAGCCACAGCGCAGCCAGCAGGATGAATTCAGGGGGAACCGGCAGACAGAAAGGAAGGCGGGTGCATGTGTCTACATGTATGTATATATATATATATATATATGTATATCCGCATGTGTGTATGCGTGTATGTACGTGTGCATGTATGCATGCGTGTCTGTGTGTTTGCGGCAGTTGCACCACCACCACCAACTCCACCACCACCACCACCCCCACCCCCAGTAGCAACCCCACCACCAACGATGCTGCATGGGCGCTATCCGCAGCAACGAGGACTGGTAAATGGAAGCCGTGCAACGCACTTTCTTGAGAGCTTCAGCGCCCTCTGCATGGCCCTTCCAGGCGCTCTGCATCTTTTTCCTGGCGAAGCGTCTGTTGCCGTCCATCACGAAAGCGACGTGCAGAGGGATGCTCCCACCGGATAGAACCCAGCACAACAGCCGGTCGAACCTTGGCAGCCAGCAGACAATGCAAGAGCGAGAAAGCGGCATGAGAAAAGGCGTGGCGAGAGTTGCCGATGCAGAGCGACGGGTAGAGAAAGGAGGCACAGCGAAGCCTTACCAGTTCAGCATTTTGATGAGCGAAACAAGCCGTGCAGGTCGATAACCAGGGAAGGCCCTCTCTGGGTGTTGCCGAGGCTGCCAAAGTAAACGAAGTAGAGAGGCAGATGCTGAGACTGCGGCGGCAGCGGCTGCCTCTTTGGCCGCTGCCACTGCGCGGTGAATGGGGCACCTGATAAGCCCTCGCCTTTTTTCGCAGGATGCTGCAGTGTCTGCTGGTGCTCCCGTCGCAGCTAGCTACCCTCGCGCTGTCTGTGGCTGGGAAGCTTTCTCGTGGCAGCCACGTCTTCTGTGCGTCGGCTGGGGTCGTTGTCTGTGGAGCTGTATTGCGTGACAAGACCCCCTTCCCCTCTCCGGTGGCGTTGCTGATGCAGAAGACGGGGAAGGTGAAAGGGGATAAAGACACAAAAAAAAACAGAATTTGACAGCAGCCGTTGCTCACGACACAGAAAGGGGGCCCCGCCGAGGGGGGCCGGAAGCGGCGGGGGGGGGGGCCCCTACGGGTCGGCCCCTCGGGGTGTACAGACACCGTCGCCGCCAGGCGTCGAGCGAGCTGTGGTCACCCCTGAATGCTGCAGCTCTCCCTCTTTCTTTTGGCGGTAGCAGCCGATCCTTTTTGGTATTGCATGCTGCCCCTTTGCTGCATGCATAATCCTTGGGAGAGCACAGGCAGAAGGCTTTCTCGACACTGTCGAGCGCAACGCAGCGGGGCGAGGGGGGCCCCCTCCAGCGGAGGCGGGCGGGGACAGGCCGAGGGAGGGCAAGTGAGCGTTACCGTCCTCTCTGCAGACGCTCTTGAGTATTTTTTCACCCCGCAAAACAAGAGGCGGAGTTTTTCGGCGCAAGAATTCGGCCGGATCGTGGACTGCTTTCTTCCCGCGTGGACGCTGCCTTCAGCAGTATCGCTGCAGCCACGCACCAGAGCCTCCCGGGGAGACTCCGCCGAGGGCTGGGGTGGTACTGGCCTTTCATTTTCCTTGCTCAAAGGCCCCTTTCGTGAAAAGCCTCCTTCGCCGGTGTTTCCACCGTTTGTTCCCCTCCCTCCGCGATGTTGCGGTGCCCCTCTCGGCTGTCGAGCCGAGCGCTCAGTCCCGAGGAGGCCCTTTTCCGGCGAGGGGCCGCCGTCTTGGAGAAAAGGGGCCCCCACCTTCTGACTCCAGCAACGCGGGGTGCACAGGGAACTGCTGCCTCCCCCGTAGCCGCGCTTCCAGCTGTCTTTCCCTGCTTTGCCCCCCCCGCCGGTCGACGCAGGGGGGGGGCCCCGGGGGCCCCCCCCCTTTCCCCTCCGCAGTGGCGGCAGCTGCGACTGGTGCCCCCCAGCAACAGGCGAGGACTGCATTGCGCGTCGTTAGTGGAGCCGCTGCACAGTGCTCCGGATTCTACCGCGACAGCTCTCGAAGGCGCAGCTCGAGCAGCAGCAGCAGCAGCAGCAGCAGCAGCAGCAGCAGCTACAGTGACGGCAGCACTTCCCAGAGCCCCTCTAGTGCTGCGGCTGCAGCGCTTGTTTCGGTGGGGTGGCGCTGCTGCTGCTCCGCAGTGTACCTCCAGCAGCAGCAACAGCAGCAGCAGCAGCAGCAGCAGCAGCAGCGGCCTTGGGGCCCTGAGGGGTCATTCTGAGGAAGGAAGGGGCCCCCCTCAGGGAGGCACTGCTGCAGCCATTAAAGAGGCGGTAGAGAGTTGCGCGCTTCTTCTGTGGAAAGGAAATAAATGGAGAGGTAATGACAGTTCTGTGACTGCTTTCTTCTCAGGGAGCCTTAATATCTTTCGGCGCCAGAGCGAGCTGCTGCATAACCGTATATATAAATATGTATATGTACATATTTCTACGCATGCATCGTATACGAATCGCGATTGCTGGCCGTTATTGTGCTGCAGGGACTTGGGTGCCTAACAAGTGGAAGTGGTATCATCGTCACGGATACTGGGCAACCAGGAAAAAGCAGCTAAAATTCGACACTTACAGAAAATACAGGTGCGATGCTCTTGAGAGGACGTGACACGCATGCAGATTTGACTGCCTGAGCAGTGGAGGCTCCCAGGCAAGAGGCTTACTCGCTTTGGGAGCTGCCAAGGGTAACTTGCACGAAGGGGGGGGGGGAAGGGTGGTGTATGTGTGTGCCGTGTCTCTCTTCGTCTCTACTATATATATATATATCTATACATATGTCTCTCTGCTTTCTCGCGTGTTTGTGATACCTCTTTTTACGGGCATGTGTTGCTACCTACCTGCGTGTCTATATATATATATATATATATATATATATATATATATATATATATATATATATATAGTGTGTTCTCGCTTGTGTTTATGATACCTTTTTTTTCGGGCACCTGTTACTGCCTGCTCCTGCCGTCTTAGTGCGCTAACTCTTCGCGTTGGTGGCAGCTCTCTTCAGCAGCAACTCTTTTTGCACCGTCTCTCTCTCTCTGCAACGTCCCTCTCGATGTCTGTCTGCCTGTGTGTGCTGGTTGGCTCGCGCGACGCTGCACGAACGATTGCAGATACCACGAAGTGAAGGGAGTAGGGCAGCCGAAGGTCAAGTGGTGGGCCGCAAACACAGAGAGGAGCCCACTTCGACATTCTACAAAGTTTTGGTGAAGCGAGACAGGCGAAAAACATCTTGGCTGGCAGTAAAATACAGGCTAAAGGCCTGAGGAACCATAAGGCCCCCCAGCGGAGGGGGGGAAAGAATCGGGGAAAACAGGGCAGAAGAAGGAGCGTTCAGCATCCTTTAGCTTTCTTCCTCTCTCTCGCTGCGTGTGCAAGTAATTCTAAGGGCAGTAGCGAGCTAAAGCGAGTCGGTTGCGAGGACGAATGTGTGTGTGTGTATACATGTATATCTGCCTGTACACCCGCCATCATCAAAGTGCGCATAGAGAGAGGAAAAAAAAAGGGTTCGGGAGCGGGGGAGAAGAGGCCTCTTTCTGGTGACAGACGGTGGCAATCCTGAGACCAAGGCGCGTCTATTTTAATGTGGCGCAATGGCCTTGCCACCAATAACACGTATATATAACACTTGGATTCCCAGGTGTTTCGCATGCATGCCCCCAAAAGGGGCCCTTTAAAGTGCAGCCGCGGGGCCCTCGCGTTTTTTCCTGCGGCGTTGGTGCGTGTGTGTGTATGCACACAAGCACGCACGTCATTATCCCTCCGAGGAAGCAAAAAAAGAAAAACAAACAGCCTGACATCTCTCTCTACCGAGTCTCTTTTTACTTGCCCCCCCTCTACAGAGACAACTTTCCGATTGAGAGAGAGACGAGAGCGGCCCGCTGCCCGCAAAAATTCCCCTAAACGTCTTCCTACCCTACACTCCCCTTCTCCTTCTTCCCTAGTTGGCGAATAGCGCAAGCAAGAGAGACAGAGAAAGCCGCAGCAAACACCCCGCCGTTCCGGCAGAGACTAAGTGTCAACTAAGTGTCGAGACAGCAGACGGGCCGCCAGCTGGAGACTTCTTCCTGAAGAAGGTTGGTTCGCTTGAGGCTCAAGAAGGCGTTCGTGTGCGGGAAACGCCTTTGACAGTGAATGCTGATATGTTTCCCTCGAGTGGAGCAACCCCAGCGCTGGCTTAACATGGACTCACATAATGATCGCCCCAGACTCGGAAATTGACTCGGTTATAGTCTTGTGAGGCAGAATGAAGGCGCCGTTGATGAAGCATTCGTCGAGGAGATGCACGTTCTCCCCAACGACTGTAAGGCCTTCCACGCGCACCTACAAACAAAGAAACAAAGGGGGACAAAAAGCGCTGCTGCACGCATATTTTTGGCTAGCTAGCTAGCTAGCTAGCCAAGCTGCCGCTTTTCTGGCCAGGAAAAGCGGGTTAATGGTGCGTCTAGCTAGCCACAACACGACGACCACGAAAAGCCACACTATATACCAGGCAAAGACGCCGCCGGCGCATGCGCTGGCTAGCCGGCTCCTCAGCCGAGTGTGAAGGACACGTGGAATGAGGGACGCTAGTTTCTGCATTACCCATTTTCCGACAGAGGACTGCCAGCCGACAATAGAAGAATCGATCCACGAGAAGTCAGATATGTGCACGCCGCGCATCAGCGCGCAGTTTTTCAGTCGACAGCCCCTTCCAATGATCACGTCTTTGTCCACTGTTACGTTTGGGCCTAAGATGCTGCCCTCTCCAATCACCGCTGAGGGATCCTTCAAACAGCCACCAACCACCACGCAGAAAGCACACAGCACAGAGGGCCACTGCGTGATGCTGCTCGGAGAAGAAAAGACGTTCAAACAGACGGCAAAGCGGAGCAAAAGAAGCTCCCACACGCCAGGCGAATAGCCACATCAACGATACAGCCGCATATTCACATACAGATGCACACGAACGTAACTCGGAGAAGAGAAGATGCCTCCACGAATCGGAAGAATCGGCAAAACAATGCCAATACGAGAGGCCTTTGGGTCATGCTAGACTTTGTTCTAGTGGCTTCGCCTCTTTATGACAAAAGGTCTAGATGTACATATATGTGTATATATGTACATCTAGTAATCGTATATATATATATGTTTATGTATGTATATGTGTATGTATATATATGTGCTTACATATGTGTATGTGTATATATGTGTTTATGTCTGTATATGTGTATGTATGTTTATGTGTTTATGTATGCACATGTGTATGTACATATGTGTTTAGGTATGTATATGTGTATATATATATGTGTTTATGTATGTATATGTGTGTATATATGTATATATATATATATATGTGGTGAAAGTATGTATATGTGTGTATGTATGTATATATATATATATGTGTTTATGTATGCATATGTGTATGTACATATGTGTTCATACATGTATGTATGCATATATATATATATATATATGTATATACGTATCGTCTCTCTCTCGCTCTTTCTCTCTCTCTCTCGCTCTGTCTCTCTCGTTGTACGTCGGTGTTTCTGTGTGGTCCTTGGATCGTGTGGCTGCGTGTCTCTGAAAGGCTGTCTTATATCCCTTTCTCTCACCACGAGGACGTTCCCGACGAATTGAGGGCCGTCAACTAAGGCGAGTTCTTGCGATGGCATGCAAATTAATCCGGGGCATTCTGCGCAGTCTTCCAGAGAGTCATCTTTCGAGAGATTTTCTTCGGGCAGAGAGCCGGAGGCGGGAGTTTCCTTGCGCTCACGAGTCTCACGATTCACCCTAAGATCTTCTAGGAAGAGCGACATGCCTCTGAGGAAGTCTTTCGGCTGGCCAATGTCTGCCCTGCAAGGCAACACGCACGCTGGAAATTAAAAAAAAATGTACACACAGCTACGGTGGGAAGAGAAGCGGGGAGGAAAAGCACATCGACAGGCTGCGAGGAACCGCGAAACAGCCTAGTTTCACACTCAGTGCAAGACTTCGAGGGGGAAGGAGTTTCAGCAAGGAAGCAAGCAGACAAGTAGAAAGGAGTTGCAGCAAGGAAGCAAGCAGACAAGTAGAAAGGAGTTGCAGCAAGAAAGCAAGCAGACAAGTAGAAAGGAGTTGCAGCAAGGAAGCAAGCAGACAAGTAGAAAGGAGTTTCAGCAAGGGAGCAAGCAGACAAGTAGAAAGGAGTTGCAGCAAGGAAGCAAGCAGACAAGTAGAAAGCATACGACAAACAAGGGAGCAAGCGGGTAGGAAAGCGAAAACACAAGCAGTGAGCACACGAGAGGTTAGTCGACACAGGCATACTAGACAAAGAGAGGGGAGAAGGGCGGCAGGCAGCGGGAGGAGCAGTCCCCCTACGGAGAAAGGAGAATGCAGAGGTGGGAAGCTGACAGCTTCTCAGAAACAGAGGGAGCTTCGGAAAAGGACTGTCTCTAGACAGAGCCAACGAGGCTTACCAGTATCCACTCAACTTCCAGCAAAACAGCTTGCCTTCCGCAGCCATCCTGGGGAAGACTTCTTTCTCGAGAGAGCAGTAGGCCAGCGGTATCCTCGAAATGCAGCTCTTGTTAAGAATGTAGACACCTGAAACGCACATGCAGGTGCAAGCTAAAGTGCTGCGTCCATAAATAAGGAGCCTTTGAGCGGCGTGAAAGACAGCCTAGGTCGATCGATGCATTGAGAGAAGGGCCTTGCTGCGGCGTGAAGGAGGCAAAAAAACAGACGGAAAAGGCAGCCTCTATCTACACAGCACCCGTCTGCTGGTAGGCAACAAGAGAAGAACACCCCTCGTTAGCGCTATGTCTCAACAGGAGAAGCACAAAACACACACACGAACAGCCCCTCCAATGAACATTCTCACGATAACCTCGCACAAGCATCCTATTGCACCGGCATCTACAGCACCGTCCATCGATTCATCCACACACATTCACACATGTACATATATATATATGAATATATATGTATATATCCTTTCTTTTCCCTCCCCAGCCTCCGTCCCTTTTGCCGCCTTTTCTCCTCCTTTTCCCCTTGCTTCTGCGCCGTCGCAATCGACTGGACAGTGCAGTGGTCGGGAGCCCTCTCAGACGGCTAACAGCCTGCTGCTCTCATGTGTCTGTGTCTGGCTGGGAGTAAAAGCGCTTTCTAGAAGAGGCAACAACAACGGAGTGGGGTTCTCGCATAGCGCCTGTCATGCCATGCCAGGGTGATCTTTCCTCCCTAGAGGCCCCCCCCCCTTGCAAAAACGTCCTCCTTCCCTCTTCTCTCCTTTTCACAAGGAGCCTCTGCGCATGCGACACTTGCCAACTCGCTTGCCTGCGTTTATCCAGCTGCCCACAAAAGTCTTGGGCTTCTCGGCAAAGCTTAGAACGCGACCCTCGGAGTTGTGAACTAAAACTCCAAACTTCGAAGGATCTGACACCTCCGTTGCCTGAGCGAAAGAAGAAAAACACAGCCACGGGCGTATCAAAGACCAACAAGGCAGCTCAGCAGGAGACTTGTCTGGCTGAGAAGTTCCCTGCAGCAAAAGAGGCAACGGTCGCGTGCATCCATCACCGACAAAACACGTAGAAGGAAAAAGGGGCCAAGAAGCATCTCAAGAGCAAGACATGCGCATGACAAACGAACGACACACAGACACACAGACACACACACAGACACACAGACACACACACACACACACAAACACACAGACACACACACACACAGAAACACACCCACACACACACACAAACAAACAAAAAAACACAAACCAACACAAAAACACAGACACACCAAAAAACAACACAAAAAAAACCTCAAAAAGAAACAACCCAAAATACCACACCCACCACAAAAACAACTACCATGAACAAAGAAAAGACAAAAGAAGACACAGACACATCAACAGAAATAATCATGCATGACCTCTCACAATAACTCTAACCACAAGCCAACAGACCACTCATACGACACACAATTACAAATTATCCTACACTTTCGGCTAGATTTATTTTTT